CTGACCTCTACAGTCTATGAATGTTATCATGACTCATGCAATTTTCAACTTTAGCTTTTACGATCAATTGACATTATTTAAACTCATGTAACTTCCAATTGTGACTTCTGTGGCCTACATGCTCTACCAAAGCTTATGCAGCTCCCAACTACGGACACTGTGGCCTACTAACGTTATCTCAACTTCTACAACTACCAATCACGACCTATGTGGTCTATAGCTCATCCAGGGTTTAAATCTGGCCTCTATGGTCTATGAATGTAATATCAACTCATGCAGCTCCTTACTCCGACCGCTGTTGCCTACGAACATTATCACAGCTCATGTAACACAAATCTGATCTTTGTGGCCTAGGAACATTATCACAACTCCGACCCTACAACCAACAAACATTATCACAACTCATGCAATTTGCTATTCTGACGTTTCTGGCTTACAAACATTATCACAACTTATATATCTCTCAACTTTGACCTCCGTGGCCTATGGATGTTATCATTAGTGCAACTCTCAACTCCGACCTATCTGGCCTACAATTGTTATCACAACTAGTGCTACTCTCAACTTCGGTCTTAGCTGTCGACATATATTTGTTGGGTAATGTGGAGACTCTGTTCATCAAAATTTAATTGGTTTCCTAATTAAGAATCTCACATACCGCTCACCTACCTTCCCACCTACTGCTCACCTTACACATCACACCTACAGCTCACCTACCTCCCACCTAGGGCTCTCGTGGTTTCTATAAATAGCCTCTTTTGGCTTAAAGGAGAAGCCAAGCCAAGCAATGTCAAACCAAGTCCTCTTGAGAGCTAAGAGAAAGAGAGGAAGAGAGAGAGAGGAAGGGAGAGAAGAAAATAGAGAAAGAGAGAGAGGAAGGGAGAGAAGAAAATAGAGATTTTCTTATAAACATCGATGTGCTCGATGGTGTAATTTCTCGTAGAAATAAAATCCTCTGCAGCTCCGTGGACGTAGGAAATTTTGTCGAACCACGTAAATTTGTGTGTCGCTCTGGTATTTTTCTGCGTGTAATTTTACTCATTCCATTTTTTGCTTTATTGTCGTTGTTTTTCACAACAACTGGTATCCGAGCTTTGGTTCAAATCTAAGGATGAATGATGGCCGGAGACAAAGTGATGACATCAGGGATCGAGAGGTTCAATGGCACAAATTTTGCTTACTGAAGGATGTAGATAGAGGACTACCTCTATGGGAAGAAACTTCATCTTCCGTTACTGGAAAAGCAACCAGAAAAGATGGACGAGGCAGAATGGAATTTGTTGGATTGACAGGTTATGGGGGTTATACCATTAACCCTGTCGAGATCGGTCACCCACAACGTCATCAAGGAGAGGACTACTTCAGGTCTCATGTCGGCTTTATCAGATATGTATGAAAAGTCATCGGCGAATAATAAGGTGCATCTGATGAAAAAATTATTCAACTTGTAAATGACAGAAGATGTGTCTGTTGCGCAATACCTAAATGATTTCAACACTATCACAAATTAGTTGTTGTTTGTTGAAATTGATTTTGATGATGGGATACGTGAGCTGATACTATTGGCTTCATTGTCAAATAGCTGAGAAGCCATGAGGATGACATTTAATAGTTCTTCAGGTAAATTTAAGCTGAAATATGATGATATTCGTGATTTGATTTTGGCTGAGGAGGTGCGCGGGAAGGATTCTGACGAGGCCTCGTGTTCAAGTTCGGAACTGAATGTTGATTCCAGAGAGAGATCACATGACAAGAGCTCAAATAGAGGAAGATCAAAATCAAAGTCTGGTCAGCAAATAACCTGCTAGAATTGTGGCAAGGCTGGCCACATAAAAAAGAACCGCAGGAATTCTAAGAAGAAGGAGAATGATGACGCTAATATTGTAACTGAAGAAATATAAGATGCACTATTTCTGACAGTTCACAGTTTTGATGACGGCTAGATACTAGATTCAAGGGCTTCCTTCCATACATCTTCTCGTCGGGAGTTAATGCGAAATTATGTTGCAGGTAACTTTGAGAAGGTATATCTGGCTGATGGAAAAGCTTTGGACGTGGTGGGGATGTGAGGCGTTGATATTGCACTCTCTAACAAGAGCAAATAGACATTGCAAAAGGTCAAAAACGTTTCTGAGTTGAAGGAAAACCTCATCTCTATTGGGCAGCTCAATGAAGGTGATCATTCGGTGGTGTTCTCAGATAGTAACTGAAATGTTACCAAATGAGCATTAGTACTGGCTCGGGGTAAGAAAACTGACACATTATATATGACAATATGTTTACTTAGGCGAGGACACATAAGTCAAAGATGCATTATGGGGAAGCTGAAGAATGTTAGTTTCCTGAAAAGTGGCAGAGCACCAAAAGCAGGAAAACCAGACTTTGTAGAGACAAATAGTGGAGAACCACAGAGTTATGAAGAAATCTTGCAATATGAGAATTCAAGTAAGTGGGAGCTGACCAAAAAGGAGGAAACAGATTCCCTACCAGGGAATCAGACTTGGGAGCTGGCAGAACTTCCACCGAGGAAGAAGACATTACACAACAATTGGGTGTACCGGGTGAAGACTGCGCTTGATGGCAGTAAAAGGTACAAAGCTGGACTTATTGAAAAGAGCTTTCAGCAAGGGCAGGATATTGCTCATGCAGTAGGAGTTGTAAGAAAATACAGGAGTAACCCAGGAAAGAGCTTGGTGGTACAAGACTACGTTGACGGTGATATGTCAACTGATGGTGTTACTCGTTAGAAGCTGAAGTTGTGTTCAACTTCAGCTGATCTTCTGACATGAAGACATGAGCTTCGAGTTGCAAAGGTAGAGAATATCATGTTTGAGAAAAAGGTCAGTACATCCAGTGTCTCAGTCTCCAAGTGAGAGAATTGTTGGGCAATGTAGAGACCTGATCTACCAAAATTTAATTAGTTTCTTAATTAAGAATCTCTTCTAACACTAACCTACTTTCCCACCTACCGCTCACCTACCACATCCCACCTACCGCTATCATAGTTTCTATAAGTAATCTCTTTTGGCTTAAAGGAGAAGCCAAGCTAAGCAAGGTCAAGCCGAGTCCACTTGAAAGCTAAGAGAAAGAGAGGAAGAGAGAGAGAGAAGGGAGAGAAAGAAATGGAGATTTTTTTATAAATGTCGAGGCGCTCGATGGTGTAATTCCTCGAAGAAATAAATTTCTTTACAGCTTCGTGGACTTAGACAAATTTATCGAACCACATAAATCTGTGTGTCACTGGTATTTTTCTGCGTGCAATTTTACTCGCTTTATTGCCGTCGTTTTTCACAACAATATCATCTCAGCTCATGTATCTCCCAATTATGGCCACTAAGATCTACAGATGCTAGCTCATGCTGCTCTCCACTCTGATCTCTATGACCTACAAATATTATCACAGTTCATGCATCTCTCTAAATCAGCCTCTACGACCTATGAACGTTATTACAGATCTCTGTTAAGACCCATATGAGAAACTACAGCCTAAGCGACCCTTAACTCTTTCAAATCCAACTCCGGTCTCTAAGACATAAGAAGTATTTGTAGCTCACAACTGCAAAATATGTGAATAGTTGTGACCTATGTGGCTGACAACTTCGACAGCTCCTTATTACGGCCTCTATGGGCAACTCACGCTCCTGAAAAGACCATCTGCGACATGCATGGCCTACTATTACCATAACCTTCAACTACAACCTATTCGACAAGTTGACTCTACACCCACCGTCTAAAACATTTATGACGAACTAATGTCTTCGTAGCAATCGACTATGATCCTCACAACTTATTACCATCGAGAACTACATTCATTACAGCCAGACTGTGACCATTATCAATGAACATGAACTACTAGTGTACAATTTTGTAATTTCATATTCCCTAATTCAGGAGAATTGTGGATCTATGTACTCACAATTACACATTGGATTATTTCAACTAAGCTTGCTCCTATTATTTTCCCTTTTCATTGATTTTCCACATAAATAGTCGAGATATCTCCAACTGATCATTTCTTTTTTATTATCTGAGTGTGTGCCGTAATCTCTTACAATGTTAAGGAACTAAATAATCACACTATCTTCACGTACCATCCAACAGGCATCAATATCAAATAGAGCCATTGCATTCTTCATAAAAATGAATGATTTATTTTACAAATGAAATATCACGAGGCTCACAAAAATAGTGTTTTGAATACAAAAAAAAAATAAATAAAAAAATTGGGGTAATTTTTTATGCGGCACCTAAAAATTGTTTTTTTTTATAAAGCTAATAAATATAACCTTTTGTTTATAAAATCATGTAAATTCTGAGTGCAGTGGTATTCTTATATATATA